TTAAACTGACAAGGGTATAGCCAGAGGGGTGTTTCAGGCATGGCCACTGCAGGATGTAGTTGGCAATTGCGTCCTCAGATGACTTATCTTGAAATAAATTCCGAAGCCGGAGAGGAGCAGACAGGCGCCACTTAGTCTTCAACAAAGGCCAGTCATCTAGAAGCAGATTGCCCTTCAACCACACGTGAGCTTCCTTTACATCACTTGTTATTTCTGGAAAGCACGGGAAAGCACCATTAAAATGAAAATGACAATGGAAATAGATTTTACACAACATAAAATTACAGTTTGCTGTTGAAAATTAGTGTATATAGATACCTACCAGCAGAAGTTATATTTCTATAAGGGTCAGCAGTGTTCTGCTGACTGTTTTGACGTGAAGTGCTAGGTCTTGAGGTCTCTCCAGCTAGCTCCCTTTCTTTCTTCAAAACATTCCTATAGCGTATTGGTAGCTTTCCTTTGGAAATTGTTTGTGAAGGCCCCTCAGTGTATGGTGCTAAATAATAGATTTTCTGGAAGCAGAACAAAGGAATTCAACAAAATTGACAAAAATACTGACACACCACACATAAGTATAAAAACAATGTTAACATACAGCAAATTCACCAGGAAATGCTTCATTTATCTTTTCACTGAGACATTCAAAGTTTTCATTTTTTAAGCTAAAAGTGAAAAATGAAGGAGACTGATAATTAATAGCTCAATTCAAAAGCAATAATGAAAATATTGATATAACAGAGGCTCTTACTAATAGCTTAACTTGCGGGCAGCAGTTATTACAATTGAAGTCAATATACCCCTGTGCTGCTTGGTAAATGTTTTGTGGACTTTAAAATACTGCAACAGAGCAGGCCCTTGTGCTGAGTCCTCCGTAAGAAGAGTAATAATGTCCTACACATAAAGAAATAGTAATACATTAGGACACTTCAACCAGACATAAATATTTACTGAACTGCATTTAAAAGGAACATACTAGATTGTCGATTGCTCTCAATCCAACTTTAACGGTTCCTCTAGGTTTTTTCGGAGACTATAACAAGAAGAAAACTACTGTAAAATCAAGATCGTAAGACAGCCAATCGTCATCATTAAGCGTTTACTTACCGGGCTGTAATCAAATTCGTCTGGAGATAGTGAGTGTTTCGAGGAGTCGTATGATCCTGAAGAAACAGATGTCGCATTGCAGGTGGTGTCATCACGAGTATCCGAAAGACCAACCTCAACACATTCACCCAATGAGCCAACTGCCAAGACAATCTGAAATCAATTCAATAGATAGATAAATAGATAGGCTTCACTGTTATATTAGCCCACAGATGTACCAACAAACATACAGAGTCACCAGGTTGTCGTTGCCGCTCTAAGCGATTAAAAAGTTTCAGCTGCAAACCTAGTTCATTTTCTGCAAATATGTGGCCAGCGTGCTCAGGCTTTAGACACAACAAGGCCTCAGTATCTTCTATACCACACCCTGACAAAGAAATTACAGTCAATTAGTAATAGGAAAGCAGGAGCAGAAAATACAAAACTTCTAGGTTAAATGTGGGCAGCACATGGAAACTTTGACCCTCTCATCTTTTCCCCTTCTCCGACACCCATCACACATTAGATTGTCGGGCGGCATAAGTTGTGATTATATATTAATAACAAGATTCCTTTGAATCCGTAACAAATACGTTTTTCTTTGAATAACATCAACCAAGTAAAGTTCTAGGTGACGAAAGAACTCGAAGCAGAACCCCTCAACCATAACCTCTTACGAAATGTTGAAGTTGGAATTTTCTGGTACTATCACAAATGACAGTTTTAACCAGTAACAGACAACTCACCAAGTAAGCGAGGCACCAACTCCTCCAAACCCCAGCTGCGCAACAAATCTTCCATAACACAGAACACGACAACCACAACGACGACTGAGCCCGAGCACTTCTGCCGGCGGGGTGGCGGTTGCGGTAACTTTTGTGCCTTTTAAGAGGATCCTTCTTGCTGATTGACCAGTATGACCGGTATTCGCAGTGCCCATCAAAGTTACACGGGTTACACGACAGTTTTTGCAACAGAATGAATAGGGAAGTCCGTGGAAACGACTGTATTTCGCAGCTTTTTGTTTCCACTAGATAGTAATAGATGTAAAGAAATTTGTTTGAGAAAACGAAATTTAGTCTTCGCAACACATGTACAGTCGACATGAAATGGAACTAAATCATAGTTGATCGTCTTACGGAATTGACAAAATTTTGGTTCTGTCAATTAAAATTTAGTCTGCTTTCAATCAACTATATAGTTTAGTTCTGTGGACTAAACGGTTTTCTGGGTGCATTGCTGAGTTGCAGCGGCTGGGCACAGAGGGAATAACGGTAGTGATGAAAGGGACCGGGGAGGAAGTGCACCTCTTTGGCGGTGTCAGCGTGTTATGCGCCGATAATATGGCCGTGAACCACCTGGCCGGTTTACAGGGTAGCTGGAGTTCAGGCCACGTTTGCCGGCGGTGTCGTGTCACATATGGTCAACTTCCCAGGGTAGGGAAACTAAGTAGTTGTAGCTTGCGGACGAATGAATCGCACCTTGAGGGGATCGAGAGAGTGCGTGCGTCACCACGCGCTCTGAAGGGAGCCGAGAATGAAGGGATCACCGGGGATTGCTTTCTTTTGCAAATTCCAGGGTTCAACTTGACGTCCATGCCAAGCGACATTATGCACGATCTTTGAAGGCGGCACTCATGGTCCATTTACGTGGGGTTTTATTCCTACTGAACGAAAAGAGGACTGGGGGGCGCGCCCCCTTCCTCCGGTTTGAGAGGGCAAAGAATCTCCTAGACAACTTCGCTTATGGCACGGTAGAGGCCAGGAACAAGCCGAACGTGATCCCCCCCGAGCTGCTCTCTCAGGGGGAGGAGAAGGACAAGGAGAAGATGAAGAAAAAGAGGCAAAGTGCCACAGGGGGAAACCGTCGTAAGGAGAGGGTGCCGGTAGGAAAGTTCAAGATATTCGGTTCTGCTTCCCAAAAGATGACCTTATTTTATGCATTTTCCCTCGCTCTGGAGCATGCGGTTAGCCCTGGGAGCGCCGTGTGGAAAATGCACTTACAGATGTGCCGGATTGTGGACATTGCTTTTGCAATGACAGTGACTGACACGATGAGGCACGATTTGACTGAGGCTGTGGAGAAACACCACAGGCTGTGGGTTAAGCTTCACAAGAAAATAGTGTACACATCAAAAATGCACAACTTATTCCACTACAGCGACATTATCCAGGAGGTGGGGAGTATGAGAGCTAACTGGTGCATGGCTTTTGAAGCGCACCATCTGTACATGAAGCGCATCGCAAACCTCTGCAACAATTACATCCAGATCACTAAGACACTTGCTGATAGAGTGCAGTCTCTGCGTTCCACCGTGTCAGACGGTACCAACTGCCTCCGGAAGCAGATAAAGGTGGTGTCAGCTGAGGAGCAGGTGGCCGTTTGGGACCTAACACGAACCGTTTTAGATTTATTGAGGAAGGTCGTCGATCTGCGGGGAGTGTCAGAAGTCACGCGTGCAACAAGCATAAAGGCATGCGGGACACTAGTCAGGGCGGGTTGTTACAATGTTATGCGGGTGGATGGTGCTGATGTGGTATTCCTGCTGGTGAAAGCGGTGTTCATCATTCGTGGTGTAGCTCTGGCATATGGGTACGCTGTCAGTCCTGACCGTTTCCTGCCAAGATATCACGCTTACAGCCTACCGAGTCGTGTGCGGGAGGCTGACCTGACCTGCGTCCCGGCACTCGACCTGCAACCTGGTCAAACACTCCATGCGCACCATACTAGCGGGCTAGATTTGGTGAAGCTCCGGTTCACGCCGGTGTAAACACCGCCACACTGATAAACTAAGTATTCAACTGCTCAACACTTGTAAGTGTGCAACTGCAAGTTGAACACTTGGCAAATGTGCATCAGCGTAGTGGTACACTTGCAGCTGTTCAGGTCGGTAGGTGTGCACTTGCAAGTGCGCAATTCCTTGCCTGAACACTTCCTTAGACTGAACACTTGCAAGTGTACGACCACGCTGCTGCACATTTGCAAGTATTCAACTTGCAGTTGCACACTAACAAATGTTGATCAGCTGAATACTTTTTATCCGTGGAAACACGGCAGTCGCACTTAGTGATAAACATACATCATTTTTGTGCACGCAGGATGTCGGACGACAGCAGTGATGGGGCAGCGCAGCAGGCAGCAGCGGAGCCGGTGGCAGTCTGGTTCGAATACAAGGGTGAGACAACAAACCCGGATGTGCAGCGGACAGCGGAGAGCGTGATGGCCACATTTCACGAGGAGTTCCCCGAGAGCGGGTTGAGCATGGAAAATGTTAAAATCACATCAAAAAGGGTGGTTAACGGAATCACCAGGGTGCTCCATCTAAAGCGGCCAAGGGACTTCCAGGGCATCAGCGTAGGTGAAACGCTGGTGTTTGCGGACAGTAAGTGTCGCTTCGACTTCTGCATGCGTGCGTGTTGGTTTGTAATTCAGGAATAACATGTTGCATTTCCATTTGACAGAGTCTGGCGAAGCGGCGTCAGTAGAGCATACGCCCTCAACGCCAGGACCGGACCGTCGACATCGTCCAGGGGCGTCGTGCCGCCGCACGTCCCTCGGTTGGGCAACATCACGGTGACGACGCCGCAGACGCCGCACCTCCCCCGGTCGGGCACCGTCGGCACCGTCACGATGACGGCGGACATGCGCAAGCTTCACTTCGAAGCCCGCACCGCCACCGACACACTACCTGTGGATTGGGCTCCGAGACCATTGAGCGAATTGCAGCAGATTTACATTCAAAACCTGAATGGGAGGGATTCAGATCGTTCTAGCGCCTCTGCGATCGTGCGCTCCTACCTGGATGGTGTTGAGAAAGTAATATGGGATCTGTAAGTGAATTGCATTACTTTCGTTTTACGTAGTGCACCCAGTGATGTGAAGTAATGCAACTACTGTTGTTCGCAGGTACCCAACTAGGGAGGAGTACGCGAAGCTAGCTCATGGGTTACTGCGCAAGTACCCGCAGTTTGCAGACAAAGACGGGGACACTGAAGGGTGTGAACTTTGTAAGTATAAATGCGTCATTTATCAGTCTTGGTCTGAGCTATTCATAGATGGGGACTTACCGATTGTTTATTCACAGCAAGCCTAGAGGACGCGCATAACCGAACGCTTCAGTACCCTTAGACAGCTCAGGTTGAGGCAACAGCGCGTGCTTGGCATGACGGACACCCTTATCATGCAAGCAGCGAAGAAGATGCAGGGCTACAGAGAGAACAGACTTCAGCGATTTGGACGCTGACATCAATGAGGACGATCCTCCACCGAATGCCAACGAGGCGACGCGTCGGGCGATACGACGAAAACGAATGCGCACGTATACCGAGGTTTGTAGGGTCCTCTTTTGGTTGTACATGTAGGCGTCTCAAATGTGCAGATACTTCACACTGTTGCTTCTGTTTCAGTTGATCGCAGGCAACCCGGCGATTGCCGATGAACACGACGGGGACCGGCTGCTACAGATGGCCCAGCTGGTCAACAGTGGTAGTTTTGACCTCGGTCAGCTGTCAACCCTGATGGAGGAGACCTATCCAGCAAGATGCAAATGGATTATCCAGGAGGGACCCCTATGGAGTGCTGTGCAGGAACGCTATCCTGCGCTGAAGTCAGCAAAGTTTGTGAGTACAGCTTCCCGCAGTTGTAACTGATGTTTGCAGTGTGCAGTTTTGTTGACGTTTCTGTGCTTTCCAGGTTCGTGAAGAATTCAAGCGGGTAATCCCATCGAGTGATAAGCTGGAAGTATATCTAACAGAGCAAGTGAAGACCAACATTGTTCAAAGGGTCAACAGCGTGGCTGCTGATACAGCAGTGGAGCTCCTGCTGGATAAACTGCAATGCGCTTGTTCGTATTCAGGTGATGGTATGTACAAATGACATTCCTCAATGACGGAACGGAGGACCTGTGCGCACAAACTAACACTCCCCCTTATGGTTAACAGATCTCAGCACCACAATATGTATTGCGGCCTTGCCGGTCATGATGAAGGAGTGCATGCGGCACTGGGTTTCAGAGGATGATGTAAGTGGTTACTATCCTGCTGTGCCTAACATTGTTGTGTATGAACAAGAAGTAATTGGCAATTTATGTTACAGGGGACGAAGACTAACAACCCTTACGTGCGAGTATTAACTTCAAAGGGGAAATATGGCGAGGGAGCTGAGTACGTACCCATGGTGGAGGGTGTGCGAGCAGTGACGGACCAAAACCTTTCCATTCGTGAATGTTTTATTCTCCTGGCCCAAATCATCCACATCCTTGCCTTAGCATATCCAAAGCAAACTTTCAAGTCGTGGAAGCTGCTAAGCGAGGTATACCTGAACATTCAGGAGGACAGGAGATTGGTAAAGAAAGGCAAACCTTCTTTGAAATATGAATTGGAGAGGCAGTCCTTTGTAGCTTATGCGAACGGTGCAGACACACCTTGACCTGTCTTTGTCTGATAGGAACATTGTACGTTCATCGTAGGATGCAGGCATGCCCAGTTTGCTCGCCCACATGTGTGACATGGCTACATCCTCTGATGAAAGCACAATGATCCTAGTAGTAATGTGTACATATGTATTTTTTAGGTATTTATTGAATAGATTTTTCTCTGTTGTAATTTAAAATATATTGCACAGTTAATATGTATCTTAGTTCAGTTCGTTTTCTAGGGTGCATTAATCTTTTACCTATTTTCCTCTGTAGTTGTAACTCAAAAGATATTGTATACTTAAATGGATCTCAGTTCAGTTAGTTTTCTGGGATACATTAATGTGCCAGCTGTCGTTAACATTACCTACTTTGTAAGCACTTGTTTCTATTGCAATAATAATATGGACGTGCTCCACGCATTCCTTTGGGTGTTCCTTGTCCGAAATATCGGATGTTAACCTTACGCACGCACTAAAAAATAACGAGCAGAATGCTGAGTAATTGCCTCTCATAACCACGGTAATTTACCGCGTGACAGATAGGGTACTGACCATGCACGCACCATGAAAAAACACAAGCTGTATGCTGAATAATTACCACTCATAACCGCTGGTACAAACCATGAACAGAGTTGCATTTCGAACGTGTATCTCCATGGTAATTTCCCGCACTAAAGATCGGATACTGACCAAGCACGCACCCCCCCC